TAATAATAATAATAATAATAATAATATTGAGTAAATCAGAGAAATTCTCTACACGTTAGGGTTTCTTGACTTTCTTCTTAGTTGGTTTCTTTATTCAGGGCAGAATCAATCCGGTTTTGGATGAAGTATATTGGAGAGCTTGACATATGGTTTGTTAACCGACGGCACTAGAGAAAAGAATCAATCCTAGCGGGCAAATTATGCTCTGAGCACGTGCTCACCATCATGTGCTCGCCATCCACATGATGTACACGAATCTATATTTATAATTTCTATATTGTATATTTATAATTTTTATACTGTAGATTCATAAATTTTTAGACTTTCGGTGACCTAAAATTATGAATCTAAAGTATAAATTTTAGCTCATCGAGAGTCTCGAAATTATGGATATACAGTATAGAAATTATGGATCTACAATATAGAAATTATGGATATAGATTCGTGGTTAGAAATTATGAATCTAAAGTATAAATTTTAGCTCATCGAGAGTCAAGAAATTATGGATATACAATATAGAAATTATGGATATACAGTATAAAAATTATGAATCTACAGTATAGAAATTATGGATATAGATTTGTATGCACCATGCAAGGTGGACACGTGCTCACAGCATAACAATTGATCCTAGCGTTAGTAAACTGTGGTTGTGCTTTTAGCATCTACTAATTAACGGGTTGAAATAATGACGAGTCATTATATTATTATGTGGACCATAAATTAAAAAATACATTATTTGTATACATAAAGTACATTATTTGAGTACTGAAAGTAGAGGTGTCAAGGTAGGTCAAAGCCTGCGGGCCAACCCTAAATCGCTCCGCGGTGAGACAGGTTAGGGCCTAGAATTCGCAGGTTACACGGTCTAGTCCGCAGGCGCGCACACACACACACAAAACATTAAAATCTTAAAAAATGCAAATTTTTAAACACGAAATTTTTTTAGGAAAAAGGATCAAATAAGCCCCTAAAATTTTACAAGCCCCTAGACTTTTACTTGGAAAGTCAATTAGGTCCCTAAACTTTTAAAAAGTACAATTACATCCTTTAACATGTTAAATTGAGGCAATGAAGCCTAAGAACCGATAAATGACCTGCTATTACAAGTCATTCCAGTTCAGGCATCACTTCCGATAACATTCCGGCGATCGGCGACAGTCGAACCGTCGCCGGTCGCCATCTACCAGAGAAGGTGACCAATTGGTCGCCTTCCACTGGGGAAGGCGGCCAGTTGGTCGCCTTCTGCCGGAGAAGGCGACCAACTGATCGCCTTCTCTGGTAGATGGCGACCGGCGACGGGCGACGGTTCGGCCGTCGCCTTCCCCGCCGAAAGACGACTGGTTGCCTCCAAATGAAAGGTGCTGGTAGTCTAAACATTATACAATGTAAATTTCCAATTTTGCCCTCTAATTTGATGGTCAAGTTCACGCCTAACTAACAGAGGATTGATTTGGCTTAAAATCTAATAATTGGAGAACTAGTTTGGGTTCAATTAAAAGTCATAGGACCAATTTGAGAAAGGGCCATAGTCGTAGCACTATTTTGAGAATTTCCTCTTTTTAGTAGTATGGTTTTATATTTATATGTTAAAATATGTTAACAAGTTAACTAGAGAAATTTTCAAATGGTGTTTTTTTTTTCATTAGTTATACCTAAATTGTAGACTCAATCCATGAAATATTACCATATACGAATTTTTCATTTAGTTATGTTAAAAGTGACAGTTTTAATCCATTACTTATAGATTTTGTTAATATTAACAATTTAGTTTGAATTTCCAAATTATTAAATGCCAGTTATTTTGTAAGTGGAATTTTCAATCTCTTCCTTGTTATTTTTGCTTCTCAGCTTCATCCCAATAAAAAATAAAAAAAAATAAAAAAAGTACTTATCATGAATTTTGCCGTAAGAATAGTGTATATATGAAGATGCATCGAGAAAATTTGAATTTTTTTAGAAATTCAAAATAAATTATTAATATTAACAAAATTTATAAGTAATTGATTGAAACTGTCACTTTAACATAATTAAATGGTAGCTAACATTGCAATTTATAGAAGTGATGAATAAGCAATGGTTTTTTTTTTTTTTTTTTTTTTTTTTTTTTTTTTTTTTTTTTTTTGAAAATAAAGGGGCTAAGCTAATTCATTCAATCTTAAGCTGAAACGTTTACAATACAGATCAATGCAATGGTAAAACATTTCTAACAGCCAGACATAGAAACAAATTTCCTAGCAATAATACAGAAAACTTGATTCGCTAACTGTTTCACAAATTTGAAGCTGAAGTCGTTGGAAGAAACTTCTTTAATATCAGTAAGAGTTAATTTCAGCAAATGTCCTCTGACAATATTGATTTTCTAAATTTAGTCCTCTTTTTTTAATTTGGACAAATTAAACCATTTGACTATCAAAATCATTCCACCAATGGTCCTTCAATGGTTTAATTTGTCCAAATTAAAAGAAGATGACTAAATTTGAAAAATCACTATAGTCAGAGGACCTTTGCTGGAATTAACTCATATTAGTAATGATCTGGTCAAACATAGCCAATATTGACTCTGGTATGATCATTTTTATCATTCCACGCTTATGAGAAGAACTCGCTAAAGAAACGAGAAGGAACAAACTCGTTACAGAGACGAGAGGAAACAAACTTGTCAAAGAAACAAAGGAATAACGTAGAGAAAGCCTAAGGGGATGTTTGGTTCATGGAAAATGTTTTCCTTAAAGTGAAAGAAAATGTTGTTTTCTAGTGTTTGGTTCATGGAATTCATTTTCCATTGGAAAATGAATTCCTCAAATTTGAGGAAAACAAAATCCTTGGTTGGACCAAGGATTTTGTTTTCCATGGAAGATGAGAAGAAAAAAGTGAATAGATTGCCTATTTTACCCTTGCTTTCTTTTTTTAATTATATTACTTTTATTAATTTGTAGGGGCATATATGTCTTTATACTCATTATTCCTTACAATTCCAAATCCAACCAAACAATAGAATTAGTATTCCCAGTAATTCTTTTTCCACCAACCAAACAATGAAATTCATCTTTTTCCATGGAATTCCAATTCCACTTCCCTTAAAATATTTTCCGCGAACCAAACGAGCCATAAAGGAAAAGCAGAATAAAAGGAAAAATATGGTAGAAAACTTGTCAGATCTGGAGGGACTCTCAATCCTTCTCTGAAAAATGATCGGAGGAATTAATCTGAGATCTGACACGATACCCTAAATTAGCCGGAGAATGAAAGACGACTAATAGCATCGTCGGCTCAATGCTCTATCAAAGCGTCGGCCGATAGCACCAAAACGCAGACAAAGATTATCCTCTTGGGAGCAGAGAGAGAGAGGGGGGGGGGGGGGGGGGGAGTCTAACCAAGGGTTTTTGAGAGTTAACAAGCAATGTTGTTTGTTTCACATTCTTGAACTAAGAAAGAGGTATTTGGATTACTTTGGCAACATGCATGCTAAGAAGCGTTCCTCATAACTAGTTCAAATCAATAAAGTTAACAAATTGTTCCTATTGAGTGTCTAACTTTATAATTACCAAATCTAATCAACCAAGGGTTTGTCCCCATTTTGAATACTAGTATTTGTCCCGTGCGATGCACGAAAAATATGTTATAAAAATATACTCTATATGAGGTTTATTTATATATAAAATTTTTGTTATTTAATAATTATTATGTGTGAATTCCTATGATAAAATTATGAACATAAATATATTTACAATTAAAATAATATTTAAGGTGGGTGATTACTACAAATCTTAAACTATATTAAAAATTTAGTAGATAATATTTAATATTACAAATTTTTAAGAACTTAGTAAACTACAATAGTAATTGAATTACAATTTAGAGTCACCACGGATCACAATTTTTAGACCTTTGAGATTTCTAACTCTAGATATAGCAACATACAATTGACCTTTAAAGACCAAAATCACAATCTTAGTTCAAACATTGATTTTTTCTTCAAAATACTATCGAATTAAGTGTGTAATCAATAAAAGATGAGAACTAAAAATTCGAGAATATAATCTTAATGTTACTAAGCCTACTTCACGTCAATTAAGTTGGAGAGTGTTGTTGGATAGTATCCGATGCATGAATCCACGAATAACGCATCTTTGTCTCTGTAGTCCTTAATATGCACATCAACAATCTTAAATATTAGGCCGCCTAGTTATGCCATATAGTAATTTCAAACTTATGAACTTTGAGGTTGCATGCAATAAAAAGTATATTTTAAATATACTAAGGGTACATTATATATGTATGTAAGGTACTTTCAATATAAAAATAATGTATTTTTAATATATTAACAATATAATGTATTTGATATTCATGATCCATACAATTATGTGGACAATCGTTCACGCAATAATTTGCCAGTAGAAATTGAAATATAAATAAATAAATAAATAAATAAATAAATAAATATATATATATATATATATATATATATATATATATATATATTATTGCAATTATTATCATTATTATCATTATTATTATTGCAATTATTATTATTATTATTATTATTATTGTTATTATAATTAACAACAATATTATTATGGTCTTGTGAAAATTAAATGTTGATTATCACTATTTAATTTTCACAAGACCATATAGCTTTATTATATATAGGATTATTTAATATCACGTACTTGTGAAGTGATAAATCTCATTAAAAATTAATAAAATTAATTAATTCACATAAAGCAAATTTATTAGGAACATTTTGTTTTGGGTATGGTGCATTAGTATTATCTACATATTATTCTATTCTTACATGGAAATTGAAAATAACAAGACCTGATGCTCTATATCAAATAATGGGAATATATATGCATGGTTAAACTTAAACCAGCCAAGCTAAGGATAATTCCGTACTTTCAAGCGTGAAAGACTACTATATAACGACGACGGCTATTCACCAGTCCGGCCACTACAAACTTTTCCTGCAAAAACACTAAACATAAAAAAAAAAAAAAAAAAAAAAAAAAAAAAAAAAAACATGGCCGCCTGGACACCTCTTACATACTTTCTTCCTACTACGTTATGTTATGTATGTCATTAATTATTAACATAATCGGAAGTTGGTCGGCGGCGGCAGAATACCGATAGAGGTGAGGCCTGAGGGGCGTGATTCGATGGGATTCTGCATCTGCCCATTGGTTACTCCGGCGAGATTACTGTGGAGTTCAAGTTTCTTCCGCCACAAACTCATGCTCTTCTAACACTACCTATATATCCTAGCTTAGCTTCTTCAATCCCAAAACACATATACCTATATTACTATATTATATATATTCAAGCTGCTACTATACTATTATATATTAATTACTCCATATCATCATATAAAGATCGATCGAGATGGAGAGAAGAATGGAGGAATCCGGGCGTTTCTTCTTTAACCCATCCTCCCACGCCGACGTGTTGTTCCTTGGGAAAGCTGATCCCCTTTTTCCAGGTATAAATTCAATTCTGAATTATATTATATTGTTTTTAATTTTAAAAATACTACGTTAATTAGCAATTGATCAAACAAGGATTATTATATTATTTGTTGTGATGGTCGGGCGGTATATATATAGGAGGAAGCTGGTCGGCGACGAAGATGGAGGAGAGCTTAAAGAGGCGAGCCAGCTGCATGTTCAGCGGCCCACAATCTGACGAGGAATATTACGAGGAGCAGTCATCGTCAGATAAAAAGCGCCGTCTCACTTCGCAACAGGTAGCTGCAGTGCTGCATATATATATATGCTTCATTACTACTATACATAAAAGAAATTAACACTTGCAGGGTGTTTGGTAAATAACTGTTAGCTTATTGGATTAATGAATTTGATTAGTTGATAACATTAACTGATAATAAAAAGATGTTTTTTAAACAATAAATTATTACAAAAAGTCAATTAATGAAACACTCATATTAGTTGTTTAACCAAGTTAAATAGCTACAAGCTAACTATTTTACCAAACATGATTTTAATTAAAACTGAATAGATTGAAATGTCTATATATTAATTAAAATCATTTAAATAAACTTGTTAACAGATGATAAAATCGCCATGCCACAATAATACTAGGATTATGTAAAGGAAAAATAAAATAGAGAATGTGAATGAAATTAAGTTTTGATTTATTGTAAATTAGGTATAAGCGTTGTTGATTATACATATTATTTAGGTAGACGTGCTGGAGAGGAGCTTTTCAGGGGAAAAGAAGGTGGAGGCGGAGCGCAGGAAGGAGCTGGCAAGTAACCTAGGGTTGCACCCCCGGCAGGTGGCGGTTTGGTTCCAAAACCGACGCGCAAGGTGGAAGGCCAAGCAGCTTGAAAGGGACTACGATGAACTCAAATCATCCCACGATTACCTTTTGTCTCACTATAACTTCATTCTCAAACAGAATCAAAAGCTCAAAGCAGAGGTAACTAACAGTACAGTACTAGCTACAACCATATCAATTACTAAATATGCAATTAATGTGTTGAAGGTGAATTTACTGAGTAAGAAGTTGGAAGGTAATTGTAAGGAGGTTGATGACGATGATGAGGGGAAAAATGCGCCGCCGTCACGTATGAAGGCAGAAAAGAAGTGTGATTTTACTCGCATACACAGTTCAATTGGTCACAGGGATAAAATACCAGAAGAGGAATACGGAAATCCAAAGCAAGAGCTACTTATGGATAATTATTATTATTATTGTGTTTGTGGGAGTGGGAACACATATAATAATTTGCACAATATTGATTATGAGGAGGAGGAGGAGGATATGGATCATCATGTTTGCAACTCCACTCCACATGCCCAAACTACTACTGATGATGATGAGCCACTAGGATGGTTCTGGTCCTAGCTACCTACCTATCTACTCCCTCAGCTCCATATATATATATATATATATATATATATATATATATATGCAATAATCTCACTAGTCACTTGTGTAAGAACATATCACGATATTAAATCTAGGATTGTTACAGTTGTTGGTTAATTAAATAGAAACCATGTAACTACCGAGTCAGAGTGTTTAAGTTTCTGCACCAACAATAATTCTCTGTCTCTAGATTTGTCATATGTTGGTTTAATTCTGAAGCAATGTCGTTTTATTGCTAGGGATATTGGGGACGTTGTTGTCCGTCATGTCCGAAGGTCAGCGAACCAGGTTACTCACGTACTAGCGAGGGCAGCTGTTTCTTCCTCTGTCCTTGGTGTGTGGGATATTATCCCACCCAGTTGTATTTCTGATTTGTTTTTATGAATGAAGTTGTTTGGGTTTCAAAAAAAAATAATAATAAATAGAAACCATAATATTTATTATCGAAAATTTAATACAAATTTGAAATAAATAAACTATTATTTATAATAGATGTTGAAATACGATAAATATATATTGTAATACTTATAACTGAAATTGTGATATACTTATAAAGTGTATATTGAGCATCTCACGGATCACGATCCATCTCACGGATCACTCACACAAGTTTTGTCTAATTTCAAAACTAACATAAACATGAATAGGAAAAAGGCTCAGGATAATATCACATGCAGAATCATTGTGAGGTGTGGAACAATATAAATAAGCAAAATAAATAAACAGCACACACAAGATCTAATAATAGAGTTTGGAGCAATAATTCTCGAAATCAGTAGGGCAAAAGTGCAAAACAGCAAATTAAACTTGTGTTACTCTATACTAAATACTGTATTATATTACAATAACATTGAAATAAAATAACAGTAGAAGTAGGTTATGTACTGATATTACAGTTCCATGAGTGAAGTGAGATATTATATACATTTATACATGATGATCTTTCTTCTAAGTTTGCTAATCAAATCCTTCAGTACAGATGAGAGGCTTAATCCCAATTCCGAAATCTAGTTGGATGGGATGGGATTAGTACTATCATTTTCTCAAGGATGTCATGTGTGTGTTAACCAAAACCTAGACACTAGACAAATTTACAAAAACAAAAATTCAGTCAAGAATCTCATCTAAAGAATGATTTTAGGGAATACCTTCCTCCTCATTCTAAGAGAAATCCGGTTCCTGTGGCTTAAACAACTGAGGCATCTTGAGGCTAGAAGAAGCAGAATCTGATACCTGAACTTTTTGCATCATTCCTCTTCTTGTATTTGCAGCAAATTTGGAGGCCAGGATTGTGGCTCCAAGATGCTGTGGATGTGCATTGTTGGCACCATCTTCGGATGACCGGATGTGGACTCCATCACCAGAACCCACATAATTCTCGTCATAAATGTAGGTTCCGCCATCTTCTGTTGACATGTAATAGTAGCTCTCCTGCAGAGACAACTCCTTTGCCAGCTTTTTCTTTTTGTACCTTCTCCACCCGACCTGTATATAGCACGCACCCCACGTCCTCCATTGATGAGAATAGTATCTGAATGCATGCTGCAACTTCTTGCTGTGAAGATGCTTAAACTGAACCGCGAAGAATTTCAGGTCCTCAGCACGAAGTGCAAATGCCTCCACTTCAGATAGCGTTCGAACAGTGCGAGTTGAAGAAGGCAGGTTTAAAGAGTTTGGAACTAGAGCCCATGTGAGTAATTCCTCTCCACAGAAGTCTCCGGGTCTAAGGGTGATAGAATTGAAGAATCCTGACCTTCCCCCATTTGTTGTGGAGCTCTCCAGTTGGCCCCTGATGATAAAGAGCATCTCGTTCACTGGATCACCCTCGCGGACAATATAAGTGGCCTTTGTGCTCAACGAGGAGACTAGGCGTTCACAGATGGCATCAAGCAGTTGGTCATCCATCTGTGCAAAGAAAGGAACCTGGAATAGCAGACAAGTTTAAAAGCCACCAGTAGTAAGTATAACCATATCACGGGTTATCACAACAGGCCATAAACACATACTCTCCGAACAAGGTTAAGGCAAAGATGTCTCTGAATCTGACGACGAAGATCCAGGGGTAACGATAGCAAGATAGACTCTTCATTGACTCCTCTCGTTGCAAGCCATTTGTACTGATCAAATCGACGTACACGTTCTTGAAGGTCTGGAGGCAACTGGCGATGCCTCATCCACTCTTCTGTATCTCTTCTCTTAATCCTCCACTCCTCAAGTCTCACCGTCAGAGATTGCAGGTAAGTCTTGAAAGGACGAGAAATTTATCATCAATAACTGGAAGGGAAATAGTGCATGTAACAGAAAGATGCATGATTTTTAAAGCAGCTTAAGGATTTGAACATCTTCAACACCCCCAGCATTTCTTTATATGCTCTAGGAAGATAGATGAGAATAATTACTTCAAGTAACCTAACATAACAGAAAACTATTTCATATCAAGGCATTAAGATAGAGTGAATAATGAATTCTTACCTGCATGTTGCCAATTAAATGTGAAAATAGAATTAAACCATTGATACACACGAAAATGCAAAACAGTGTTTCTCCAATGTATGTGCTAGTCCTCAAATTCTGTCCATATGAACTGCAGACAACATTATTCAAACAAATATTAACATTAAAAAAGCAGTCAATATGAAACATGTATTGCAGCAGCCTTAGTGCTTGCTTACCTCAAATTCCTTAAACCCCACCAAAAGCAATAGAGATACTTCTCGACAAATCGAGATGAAGCGACTTCACTGGTGAAAGCATCAGCAAACATTCCGAATTTGAAATCAGATTCCTCGTTTTTAGGATCACAACGGGAAAGCAATGCGGTGGTGTTGAGCCAATATTCCCGGTCAAGTGAACTGGATTCCGGACTCTCACAGTCCAGAAAACCACCCATGCATGGAGGAACCGAATACTTCTCAGTTTCACACTGCATAGTCCAGCAAGAATGCTGGCGCCCAATGGAAGACAGGTACCATGAAGCCCCTAGTACCTGCGTGGTTAGGGTTCCCAATTACATAAAACAAACAAACAAACAAGTTGAACCCCAAGAACAGAACAGGACAAAATGTGTCCGCACGGACTGTATTTGGGAGAAGAAACCAAGGTTTGAAACTCCGAAGCGTTTAGACAAAGCCACTGAATTACTAGTAAGGATTGGGGATTCGACTTTTGGGAGAATAACATGACAGAATGTTGTATGTAAGTGGTAATTAAGTGCTTACATGACTGGCTAGCATGAAGAGGATTAAATTATATGCAGCTCCGGCCCAAGCTGTTTTAGCAATAAAGCCTGTCGTCTTTATAATCCTCTGATTTAATGGAATGCTAACGAGCAACCTGGGAACATATTGAATGAGGACGATAAGAGCGAGAGTGTTGTTGTCGTGGCCAGAGCCAGAGCCCCTAGCTTTCATAGCCGGAATCACAAACCAAATCACAATCTGCGTGAAATGCAAGGGAAACAATCAAATATGTTGAGCTTGAGAAGAAGAACAAAAACTTGAACAAATCATTGAATTGAATTCATTGATTCATGCCTGAGGTAAGGGGAGAGTAGCGGCGAAATCAATAATGAAATCGTATTTGAGATATCGCATCGCGATTTCTCCCGCGTCCATCACCAGCTCGCCCCGCCCGAAAACCCTAGAGCTAGGGGCGACGAAGGCGGTGCGGAATTTCAACAGCATGTTGAAGATGTAGAAGAAATCGGCGACGGTGCGGAAGTAGGTGATTGCGATGGAGGCTTTGGTGTCGGTGGACATGCAAGCCTTGCCGCCCACGTAGGGGATGTAGAAATACAGAGGGTCTAGAGAGAGGGAGATGAGGCAGACGATGAGGAACACATGATTCCAAAGGTTCACAACGTCGCTGCTTGGATCCAATATCTTGTCTCGCCATAGGGCGTCGAGCAGTTGGGGCTCGTCCGGGGAGGCAACCGCCGTCGGAGCAGCGAGGAATTTCAATGATTGCTTGAATTGACGGAGGCGTGATGCCGGCGTGAAGAATAAACTATCCATCTTCCATGGCGGAGCCCGACCGATTACAATCGGATTCCGCAATTCTCTGCAGATATTAATGTGAGAAAGAAAGCAGAGCGTATATATGTTATGTATAAAAACAACCTTTTCCTCCTGGGTCTTCTATGTATCAGAAACAACGGGTTACGGAAAAAAAGGGATGGATTTTGGCAACGTAGAAAGTAGGACTAAGGTCTGCAATGGAGATTATTGTGAGAAAGAAGACATGATGATTAGGAAGGCTGCTTCTGGTGTGGAGATGAAGGATTTGCTTAGGACCGTTCAAATTTTCTTGGCAACACGATGGAGGGAAATCAATTCCTTTATTTTGGATACAAATAAATTAATAAAATAATACACTTGGGTATTCTTCTTTTCTAAAAACATATAGCATTATAGCTGTCAATAAAAATAGAAAAATGATATATTTACTCCTATTTTATACTCCTAATTTGTACTCCCACACACAAAATTTTGATGTAGACACTTGTATTGAGACTCACATGACAAAAATAGCTTATCAAAATCCGTGAAAGAATAAAATTTAGGAAGTAAGATTAGGGAGTACACGTAGTAATACTCATAAAAATATCCATTGTTATTAGCCCTTGTTATTAGCCCTTATTATAATTTCGTTGGACATAATTACCTTTACATTATTATAATTCCATTATTATCTAAGAGCATTTTCAATACAAATCATTTTTTCTTGGTTTTTTGGAAAGATTAGGACTGTGCACAACCCGAAATATCCGCCCGACCCGAACACCGAATCACCGAACGGTGAGGATATCCGAGAACTTCAGATATTATCCAAACCCGCATGTGAACGATGGTGTATAAAAGACGGATGGGTGTGATTAGGATTTATCTCACCCGAACCCGTCCGATATCCGAACTATAGGTTTAGTATAAAAGTCGTCGTAGACTTAGGGTTTGCCAGTTGCCACTTCCATTCTCTGAATCTCTGATTTCTCGAATTCTCTCTACTCCTCACTCCTCAGAGCTTCTTCTCGATCTCGATTTCTCCTTCCGTTCTCTGAGAGTCTGAAACCGGAGAACTTCTCTGATCTCTCATTCTTTGCATCTCTCCAGTCTCCTTCTCATAATCTCATCTTATCTCCTTCCGTTTTCCTCTGAATCTCTGATTCTCTAAAGTCTGAGAGTCTGAGACAGTGACGTCTCTGTGCAAAACCTGTCCATCCCGAACTCCCCTTTGAGTCTTCGACGGGAATCTTGTGGAAGTCTTTGTGCAAACAAGCAAAGATGGCAAGACGCTAGAAGCCGTACACCGGTGGAAGTTTGACGCCTTGAAGCCCTAGATCTCAGAGGGAACCTTTGAGAAAACAAGTAAATGTAACTCTATCATTTTTTTTTCTTATTTCCCCGTTGCATGTTTGTCTGTTATGTTCTAGTTCTATGATGTTACATGAACCCTATTTTGTAAGTGAACCCTAATTTTTGGGGCTTTTCACATGCGTGATGAATTTGTGCTAATTCTAATATGTGTCTGTAAGTTTATGGTTAAAGGACCCTTAAATTTGTAATTTCAAAATGTATGGTGGTGGTGGAAGCCTATTGAATTGTAATTTATATTATGATGTCCATGTTGAATGAATGAATGTTGATGGTTGACTGTTAGAAATTGGAAAGAATGTGTTATATCACTTATATGTATGTCAGTATGTCTGATGTCCCTGTTGAATCATGATTATGTTAGTTGTTAAGCCCTTATTGTGCCATTATGGAAGTACTGAGTATGGCTGTATGGTTAATTGGTTATGTTAGACTGGTTAGTTGTTGGATGTTGAATTGATGCCTTGATGGTTGACTGTAGAAGTGTTAAGCCCTAATTTGTGGACATTTTCATAAAATGATGAGTTCATGAATCATGATTCATGAGTCCTGATTATGGAATGAATTTGTTAATGTGTTATATGTAATTACTAGTATTTGCCTCGTGCGATGCACGGACAAAAATTTATAAGTATTGTTGTAATGTTATGATACAAAGCAGAATTAATTTTATTAAAAATGTAAGTATAGTTATACATTGTAATATTTTATAAATCTATATATATATATATATATATATATATATATATATATATATATTTATTTATTTATTTATTTATTTATTTATTTATTTATTTATGATGATTATGAAGTTCCTAAACCCTTGATATTCCATAACTCTCAAATGTACCAAATGGAGGGAAAAAAATTTCACCTTGATTCTGCTATATTATATATAGAGATATAGAGATGTATGTCAGTACTGAGTACTGACTTACTAAGTATGGTTGTATGGTTAATTGGTTATGTTAGTTGGGGAGTGCTCCTTCCTTCTTGGATTGGTGTTCTGTGGAAAGTTTAGTGAAGTTGTTGAAAGTATTTTATGATATGACAGTGAGAATCTCTGGTTCACTTTATGTCACATCAAACACATTCTTCTCTGAGATCTCTGATCTCAGTTGCATGCTTGAAGCTATGGTGAACTCTCCAGCTGAGACTGAAAAGGTATTATCTTTAAATTTGTTTAGTTTGTTTGCTTGCTTTATTTCTGTAATTTGTAAATTTGTAACTTGTAACTTTTTTTTTTTTCTGTTTTAGGCAATGGGGACACAAATGAGGAACAAGTTTGACAAATATTGGGGTGATCCAGAAAAAATGAACTCTGTCATTTTTTTTTGCCAATATTCTGGACCCTAGAGATAAGGAGGGGTACATGCCTCATCAGTCATTTTTTTTTTGCCAATATTCTGGACCCTAGAGATAAGGAGGAATACATGCCTCATCAGTTTGCCCAGCTGTATGGAGAAGTTAAAGGCAAAGCTTGTTTTACCAAGGTTCAATCTGCAATGGCTGCTTTGTATGATGACTATGCAGCTACATACTCTGTCAGTTCTACCCACACTGCATCCTCTACTCAAGCAGTCCAGTCTGAGGCTAGTCAGGCTACTACTTGTACAGTTGGTAGACCTCATGCATCTTTGAAGAGCCAACTTAAAAAAAAAAAAAAAAAGATTGGAAAGTGGTGGAAGCAGTAAGCAAACTGAGTTGCAAGTGTACTTGAGTGAAAGTCTTGTGGAGGATGATGAATCTGTTGATTTTGATGTGTTAAAGTGGTGGAAGAGCCATAGTGAGAGATTTCATATTATCTCCAAAATGGCTAGAGATGTGCTTGCAGTTCCTATTTCCACAGTTGCATCTGAGAGTGCATTTAGTACATCTGGAAGAGTACTTGATCCATTTAGGAGATCCTTGATTCCTAAAATAATGGAAGCACTACTGTGTACACAAGATTGGTTGATGGCACCTAATCAGCCAATCCAAGTTGAGGAGAACCTGGAGGATGTTGAAAGATTAGAGAAAGGTCAGACTTTAATTACTTTCAGTTACTTTCTTTATTCTTTATTTCTTTATTTCCTAGTTTACTTAAGCTTACTTATTCTGTTTTTCACTTTTGCAGAATTGTCCACTAGAGCTTCATCTACTATACCATCAATGTTGCCAACAATCACTGTAATGTATTTAATATTTGTTTACAATGTGTTCATTTCTTTAATCTATCTGATATTCTGTTATGTTGTTGCCTTTGCCCTTTTGTAATGCAAGTGGTGTTTAGTTTCTAAGTGGATTGGCAACTTTCTGTTATTGAAATGTTGCTGCCATTAGATGAGTTGAGCCCAATTTGGCCATTTCAGCAATTCTGGAATTCTGGTAAAAGTGTAAAACTATTCCTTGCTCTCTGTTCAGTTTGAATGCATTCTATTTTATTTGCTGGCTGTGATGAAGCTTCCGCTTTTGTCTGAATAAATGGAATGGAGTTGGTGTGCTGTCGATGTGCTAATATAACACATTCTGAGCAATTTGTCCACATTCTTACTTGATATGGAAAAATACATTCTGAGTAATTTGCCCACATTCTTACTTGATATGGAAAAATACATTCTGAGCCTAATGCCTAGTATTGTTAGTATGTTGTTTTGTTGTTTTCTATTTACATGTCTTATGTCTAAACTCTAAAGACTAATATTGTTAGTCTAACAATAATACAATATTAGTGTAATGTTGAGAACAATAAATGTAATGTGTTTAATATTTGTTTACAATAACTATATGATATTCTGTTATGCTGTTTCATTTTGTAATGCAAGTGGTGTTCTTGTCTTGGCAACTTTCTATTGTTGAAATGTTGCTGCCATTTGATGTGTTGAGCCTAATTTGGCAATTTCTCTGAAATTCTGGTATAATTCTTCCTTGTTCCTTGCTCTCTGTTCAGTTTGAATGCATTCTATTTTATTTGCTGGCTGTGATGAAGCTTTCACTTTTGTCTGAATAAATGGAATGGAGTTGGTGTGTTGTTAATGTGCTAATATAACACATTCTGAGCAATTTGCCCACATTCTTACTTGATATGGAAAAATGCATTCCGAGTCAGTGAGCCTAATGCCTAGTTTTGTTAGTCTAATAGTCTGTTGCTTACTTGCTTTGTAATCTAAACTCTAAAGACTAATATTGTTTTAAGTTTAAATACTAACAGGAAGAAGAATAGATGACTAGATTAGTGTTGATTGTGCTGACTGTTGATAGTCTGATTTTGCTAACTGCTGAAGAGTGAAGAGCCTGAGCCCTGTAGGTGTTGACTGCTGACTGGACTTTGGAGTGACTCAGTGACTGCTTAACAGCTTAAGTGCTTAAACTATTTTGTTAAACAATTTAGTCTTAAGCAGTTAAGCTTTTTTTTTTTTTTTTTTTTTTTTTGTATAATCATTGAAAATCTGTAATTAACTAATTATTAACTTAGTTTGAAACTTGTATAGTTCATAGTTGTATGTTTTGCTATGGTATGCCTTTAATTTATTGCTAATTTGTTATGGAGTGACTTGCTTAAGGGCTTAACAGCTTAAGTGCTTAAACTATTTTGTATGTTTTTTGCTATAGTTGCATGACTTATTTATTTAGAATTATTTTATATTAATTTATTAATATCCGATTACAATCCGAAATACGAAACGGATAACTGAAATCTGAATATATGAAATCCGATAGGGTTTGTCCTTCAAATTTTACGGATTCGGGAGGGTAAAAGAAATTCGAAATCCGATCGGATTGACGGATAGGAAATCCGATCCGTCCGTATCTGACCAATGCACAGCCCTAGGAAAGATAAATGAGGAAAAAAGACGAGGAAAAAAAAAAGATAACAATTGTGTGGAAAAAAAATTAAGATTTACGCACGCGTCAATTACTCAATTGGGCGCGCTTGGTGC